GGGTAACACGAGTTACCTCTCGATATACCTGTTCTCTTATACCGAAATCGCCCTAAGCGTAGAGGCCACCTAATTAAAAGTTCGTACCAGTTCTCGGGTAGTCACGAACCTTCCTACCTGCGTCATCCTTCAGAATCGTCCAAGAATGAATTTCCGTTAGAAACAGTCCTCCTCGCAAAATTTCCATTCCTCCAACTCCAGTAGAAAAATTTCTCCCGTTAAATTCGAACTTCCAACCATTTCTTCGATCTTCCTCCCTGTCTCGTCTCATCCTTCGACTCTGTTCGGCTCGGTTAAAGACGAATCGAGACATCTATCTTTCCTTTCCTTTCTTCTTCCCCTTCGCCCTCTTTACTCCAGGAAAATAAGTTCGAACGGTAAGTCATTTGTCACAGATTCCAGTTTAATAAAGTATCTAATCAATCCTGTAATATTCATTTTAAATTAATAAAAATAAAAATGAAAGACACACATGTGTTTATAGGTATTCTTAATTATCTTTAATATCTTTTTTTTCCGTATTGCATATACCATTTTTATCTCATCAAATAAATATCTTTTAAACTTATTTAAAAAAAAAATAAACTTTTTTTTATAATATCTGTCAATCAATAACTAAAATTTTCCTCTTAGTTTTCTGCAAGCGTTTCTACAAACAAACAAGTTTACTAAGATACGCTTCAATTGGACATTATTATTTATAAGACAAACTTAATTATGAAGGTAATAATAATTTTCTCTGAGCAAAGATCGTAAATATTCATCATCTTTCATACTGTTCCTTTTGAGATTTTTATAGAAAAAGAAAAAAAAAATTATGATAATTTGTTAAACTTTACAGGAAGATAATTTCTAAAAATAATTTTATGAAATAGTTAATAATACGGACTATTGATAATTACGAATAGTAATTTATAAATCGAATAAAAAATACGGTTTAAAGGTAATCCAATAGGTATTCTATTGGAGTTTCGCTACTTTTCAACGGAATGCTGATATTCGTGAGAACAAAAAAGAAAAGAATCAATGGCACGGTGAAAAAGAGCGACAAGTCGGCATTGCTTTGTCTGAAGTGTCATTGTGCAGAGATATTCTCATGCGTGGCTAAATAAATCCAGGATATATCGAGGCATACAGTTAAGTACGGCCGGTTAAAACAATTAGCTTGCGCAACTACAGTAACACTTGGTGTAAACAGCCCTCCTGCAGTAATTCTCTGTTATCGGAGCTCGACGAACATTCATAGGCTTAACAGAGCTTATCCCTCATCCTTCTCCTCCTCTTTCTTCTCTTTTTACCACTTTCCGATATTCTCTCTCTTTCTCTTTCAGTAACAGTCACTCTTCTTCTAGCTCCGTAAACATGTCCTTATTTCTCATCACTTTATCCCTTTTGGAATGGATTAATAGAGGAATCTATCTGGTACACAAGGTTCATCAACCAACGTTGTCTTTCTCGATCACGTAGACTTTACTGCATCGTTCCTTCAATCGACAAGAATACGTGACTATGCATGAACCTTATTGTTTATTTTAAACGACCTAAAATATAATGACGGTTGGTTCAATGATCCGTAAGTTTTTATTTCTTTTTCTCTTTTTTCCTTTTTTTCTTTTACTATCTTATATTAGCAATATACCTGAATTCTAAATGTGCCCTTTATTACCGTTGCAGAAAAATATCTGATTACAACGAGCGATTATATATCAAAAACCGTTTATCCAAGGAGTTTATACAAAGCGACAAACTATCGGTTTAAAGCGACAAACTATCGGTTTGTATTATTATCAGACATGTACAGCTGTATTTTTTCGTCTTTATCAGTAGCAACACCGAATAAGCTTATCAAATGTGTTCACTTAAAAACCTTATCGACAACTAGAAAGTACGTTCGATATTTTTTTGTGTAAATGCATTCACACAATAAATATGCCTGCAGCTCTACATCTTCGAACGATTATCGAATATCTTAATGAGAAAGCTATCGCTTGGGTTTTCAAACGATAGTTTAAGATTGTTAGGCAGTACGAGATAAAAACCTTTAAAACACGACCATTGATATTGGAAAAGAACAAAAAGAGAAATAGAAAATATTATTTCACGAGGAAGATTCATAACTAGGACAATACAAACCGGGACAACAAGCACCAGATGCGGCTTTCAGCGAATCTACTATAAAAAAAAAAAAAGAAAAAAAGGAAAGTAAAAAGAAAACTGAAAAAGAAAAATTCATAGATAACGCATGCTCGAATCCAGTGTAATAAAGCGAAGTGCTCTCTCGTGCGGCGAACTCACCAAGTCACTTTCATCCATGTCGCGATACCGCTATGTTCTCTGCAATCCTCGCGATTACAAAGCTAAAATTTTTCTACTCATACCACGATCATTAATGCTACATGTAGCTACTCGGATTACTCGAATAGCGAATAATTTTTTATATGCATGCGTTCCGCTTCCTCTAGAGTAATTTAAAAAAAAGAGAAAGGATTCGAAGAAGCGATATAAAAATAAAAATGAAGACGTTAGAATGTATTCTAATAATAATAAATGATAATAATCTTCTACAGATACTTTCTATTGAGGAAGAATCTACGCATTACATCTACAATACTCCGTTATAAACATTTACTTAATATCATCTTTAAAACAAATTGTAAAGATTATTGGATATATATATATATATATATATATATATATATATATATATATAATGAAAACTCTATTTTATAATGTCAATATTTGAAATGAAAAACAAAATTAATAATGTTTATAATAAAACGATTATTAATCGAAGTTTTGAACTTGAAAAAAGATAAAGCCTATCCTAACACACGTATATGTGTACGTACACATGTAATTTTTTGAAACAGACCGGGGACATCCACGAATGAAAAAGAAAAACAACTAGGGCTACGTGATATTCGGATAGTTTTCGATTACACCCGTTCGTATCGGATTCACCTAGCGTTGACCCGCAAGAGAGCCGAATGCATTTCCCAACTCTCTGACCGACATAGAAATTTTTCATAAAAATATTGCCCAACGATTTCCGCCTGGCTCGGTCTCTCTTTACGCTTCTCTTATTCGGCCGTTCAACAGCCGAGGCATCTTTCTTCGAGTTTTCTGCACGATTTCCCACGCGAGCCTTGTGCCAGCTTCGAAGCAAAATAAGTTATAAATAATGACCAAGACTTAGAAGAAATTCAAATCTTTCTCTCTCTCTCTCTCTCTCTCTCTCTCTCTCTCTCTCTCTCTCTCTCTTTCTCTCTCTCTCTCTTTCTGTCTGTCTGTCTCTTTCTCTCTCTTTCTCTCTCTTTCTCTCTCTCTGTCTGTCTCTCTCTCTTTCTCTTTCTCTCTCTCTCTGTCTGTCTCTCTCTCTCTCTCTCTCTTTCTTTTTTCTTCTTTTTAATTTTCTTCTTTTTTGCTTTTTTTTCTTTTTTTTGGATTTTCTAAACATACGACGTATTGTAATTATCGAGCATAATAGTATTAATCTAATATCAGAGTGCAATAATGAAAATCAAATAATTCTAATAGAAATTTTAATCGTAAATGGCGCGTATAATTTCTGTCAAGAACAGTCCCTTCGAGATTCGATTCCCTTTTGAAATTGGTACATTCGTTATATCGATTTGGAAAAGTCTTGTGAGCAATTTTGGTCATTCGTATATTAAAGAAAATTGCGAGTTGGGTTCACGATACTCCAGAATGAACTATAATACTTCGTTGGTTTTTCGAACATGTAACATAGAGATAGATTGAAGAAGTCGTGAAAGTTTCTGCTTTTTACCTTTACCACTTTGTATCAGATCTTATCGATACTTCTCGAGTACGATGATTCGACGAGGGAATAACCAAGAGATTTCATGTACCAAGTTTCAACGACGAGCTGTACAATACTTCGACATTATTTTATCTGAGTTAAGAGAAGTTGTTTTAAGCACTCAATCACTTCAATAGCCTCTCGCTGTCTTGGTTATATTCTGTCCTTTCACCTTTTCTTTCTTTTATTATCTTTCCTTTATTCTTAAATACGGTATTGCATATACGTCGATAAACTATCGTTGAGCACTTATATTTTAGTCATGTCTCTTGAGAGAAGTACACCGATACACGTTCGATAAATTTCTAATATTACAAAGTTCTATTCGGTTTAGTTGTCAGATCGTAAAGTTACACAATTTATATCACGTAAACGTTCGTTCGGAAATATTTCAAAGAATATAATGAAATATATATATATATATATATATATATATATATATATATATATATATATATATATATAATCTAATGATGTAATTCGACGTTTATCACGATATCTGAAATCTGATTACAAAGATACAAATTGACAAGAAAAAATATAAACTAAAACTTTTTTCAATCTATTATTTTTATATAAAAATATTATATGATAATTAAAAAAGTTATTCAATTGAAGAATATATGAATTACTGATAAAATAAAACTCTTAACTCTATTTAATTATATTAAATTTATGCAAAATAAAAACACAGGTGTTTACAAACATGTTTACTGCTACGACCTCTGCAAAGATAAGACGAACTAATTTTTAAAACTATTAATGAAGAAAGATTAAAAAATTGTATTCTTTTTATGATTCAACAAAGTCCTTGATTCTGTTAGATATGAAATACAAATAAAGGAGTAAATATTCATGTAAATAAAATATCTAAACTATTCGCAAAGTATATTATATACGATTGTAAATTCCTTACTTCAATTGTAATAAATTTATAATATCGATCAACAATTTATCCTCATAATTGGCAATGAAAATCGCAAAGATTAATATTAAAACAATTAATAAATTCAATTAAAGAATGCATTTATTTATATTGAAAACAATTGAATCACGTTTATCATATAATTAGCTCCTCTGCTGATATATTCTCTGTTGTTTGTAGTGTCCTCTACCGTTTTATAGAAAAAGTAAGAGTTAAACTTTATTCCTATTGGTTACATTCAAATCATTATTGATAGAATCTGTTGTAACGCTGTTTACAATATTAACGGATAATTCTCAGTACAGAAGTTTCATAAAGTCAGACGCAAAATCTTTCATCAATTGTAATTACAAGGAATACGGTGATTTATTGATTTATATCGAAGATAATATAAATATGTAATCTCAAGTATATGTGTTCGCACACATGGTTATTTAGAAGTTGATTAATATTTGAATACGGAAGAAACGTTATTAGATCGTTTATTCTTCAATTTCCACATTTTCAAGTAAATTCTTTTTGTTCAAAAAATGACTGCATCGCTGTCAGTATTAGCAAGCCTTGATGAAGTAGTACGATGTTCAAACGTCCTCATAAATGGATCCTGCGAAGAAGGTTAATACTACAGGTTAAAATATTGCCCTATATTCATATTTATAATTTTACTTTTAATACAACTTCTTTTTGTATAGAGTTTCTTCAGTTTGCTATAAATCAAGAAGAAATGCGACAGAAATGGTTGGCATCTGTGCAAGAATGTCAACGACTCCATGTCGCTTTAGAAAAATCCCATCATGAAGCAACTCGCCTTGATAGAAAACTAAGTCATGCTAGACGTTTATTGAATGAAGAGAAACAAATGCGACGAGCTGCTGAAGAAGAAAAAAACTCTTTGGTATTATAATCTTTCTTTATGATAAATATAAAAGTAAAACAACTTTTTATATGTATAATATTTAACAGGAGCGACAGATAGCTTTAGTTAGAGATCTTCTGTTTAATGATGGAGGAAGAAACTTGAATGATGAAACTAGAGAGAAGTTACAATTTCTCAACAATACTTCTATAAATCCAAGAAATAGCAATGTACACATAAAAGATTTACACTATAATGACAAGTATGGTTATTTCTTTAAACAAAGAATATAAAAGGATTACAAAGAACTATACTTTTCTCTTCACTTTTAGGCTCAATACAATAGCAGAATTAGATTCTACCGGTTCTATATTAAGTGACTTCAGTTGTTTTTCAAAGTCAGAGGATGATTTAGATACAAGCGTTATTATACAACAAAATCAGAAGAAGAGAGAATGGAAAGAACATAGACCAAGCGGAGAATACTCTCCAAAGAAACGCCGTAGTACATTGCAGAAAGTAGCAGAATTAAATACTTCTGATAAAATAATAGCTACTACTACTGTCACAGTGCCAAAAGAAGGTGCAATCACTGCATCTTCAGTCATTGAAGCTGTACCAATGAATGAAAATACCAATCCTCAAGGACCTCCACATAGTGCACGCAAAAAACGTAAAAGTTCAGATCATAGTAGAACTAAATTGGCACAAATAGATCTCAATGAAATAGCTGTTGATACTACGGTACATTAATATTTTTTTTTATTTCATTTAAATATTAGTATCAATTAGTACTAATTCCTTTTTATTATTGTTTTTCTTTTCTTTTTTTTTTTTTTTAAAGCCTTCAGCACCAAAAGCAGAAACTCTTACATCAGGTTCTGATTCAGAAAGTGCTTTTAAACCAAGTCCAAATATTGGTGGATATACTTTAAATATTAAAAATTCTAGAGGTCATAGTTTCACAGCAAAAACTGTTATTAAACCTGAAATGTGTACACCTTGTGGTAAACGGTTAGATATTTTGCATTTAAATTTTGAACATATAATTAATAATAATGGATAATGGTATAAAATTATAAATCTATTCGTTTCTGTAAATAGGATTAGATTTGGTAAAGTAGCTGTAAAATGCAGAGACTGTAAAGCTACAGCACATACAGAATGTAAAGATTTAGTACCACTTCCTTGTGTTCCAACAGGAAATACACCTACTTTCCGTGGTACTTCAGTAAGTATAAGATTAATAAAAAATGAAATACCTTAATAATTAAATTTTAAACTAAATTTTCTCTTATTATTTTTAGGGTACTATAGCAGATTATGCCCCTATGATACCTCCAATGGTACCTTCGCTAATAGTTCATTGTATTAATGAGGTAGAACTAAGAGGTATGAGTGAACAAGGATTATACAGAGTAAATGGTGCATCAACAGATGTTAAATGTTTGAAAGATAAGTTCCTCAGAGGAAAAGGTGCTCCTAATCTTTCTGACATTGATATACCTACAATCTGTTCTACACTAAAAGATTTTCTTAGGTATATTCCTTTTCTTTATTTTTTTCTTTTTTTTTTTTTTTTTTATTAATGCAATATAAAGTAATTTTTAATGATCAATGAATAACGATTTATATTTTTTATTATAGATCTTTGCGGGAACCTTTAATCACTGTAGCACTTTGGGCAGATTTTGTTCGCGCTACTACTATTTCAGATAAAGAAGATGCAGATGCAGCACTTTATCAAGCAATCTCAGAACTTCCGCAACCTAATCGAGATACTCTTGCTTTCCTTATATTACATTTACAACGTGTATCTAGTAGTGCTGAATGTAAAATGCCAATAAGTAATCTTGCTAAAGTGTTCGGACCAACATTAGTCGGTTTTAGCTCTCAAGAACCATCTCCTACTTCTATGCTTAGTGAAACAAAAAATCAAGTTGCAGTATGTATATATTGTATTAATCAAAAGGATAACATTTTTTACGTATTTGTATTATATTTTTCAGATTGTGGAGAGCTTGTTAAAAATTCCTTCTGATTATTGGGCAAACTTTGTTAATCCTGAAAATTTAAACGATATTGGTACCCCTAAAACAGGAGAATTAAGACATACTCCATCTACAGAATCACTTTTGAAACGTACCACATCTCGTGGATTTTTCCATACACCTCTTACTTCCAGGTCAGTTTAAAACCTTTTAATTACCTATGTTTTCCTTCTTATAGCTATATGTATTTTTTCTCATTTTTGTTTTACCTTTTTTTCAGTCGTACATTTATGAAGAAAAACAAAAAATACTTTGCAACTCCACCTTCTAGAATAGGTTATTAAGTAATGTTATTATGTTATGACGTGTATAGAATTAATGCTAAACACTATTGAGCTTATTTAAATTATACATTATATTTGCAATTGCCCTATAGAATTAAGTGAAACTCAAAGTTGCACTTAATGACTCATAACAATCAGCGATTGTTTAGGCTCTTACTTTAATATGATTATATAAATGTTAATTTTTCTATCGAAAACTTGCACAAACTTCTCATATTTACTATAAAAAGTGCCTTATAACTATATAATAATATATATATATATATAATGTTAGCGATATAATACTTCGTTTCTTTTTTTTTTTCTTTTTCTTTTAATATCCTGTTTATATCGACAACGTACTTAATGTTAAAGTATAAGTAATCTGTAAAAAAAAAAGCATTATAACATCTAGTATTCTTAAGAATTATAACTCGTTTAGTATTTATAACATGAAAAGTATGACATATATTTTATGTTTATACTTTTTTGGTATAAATATAAAACGATACTGTAATAAGTAAATAATTTCTCTATGATTTAACACATGTTTATTTCACTTAACAATATACGTATATAAATATCTATTATTATAACAAAAGTAAGAAGTAGAATTGATAATTGTATTAAGACAATATTCTTGCCACAAAATATAAAAAAAAAGTGTTTTATAAAAATTATTTTTTTTAAATTAAGTTAACACTATTTGTTTTATTATTTCATCGTTATATCTCATTTTTAAGACTTAATAGTTAGATCACAGCTAAAATTCATTATTTATTATTTATTTACCAATAATCGAAATAGTACGGGAGATCTAGTCACGTGATCATAGTAAAAATAATCAACGGATATTAATTATTATTAAAGCTCTTGAATGATATATCCACAAATTCATTTTTTACATTTTTAATAAAACTTAATTCTATGCCTCTTACTACTTTAAATATGTACAACTTTTTTCTTTCAATTCCCAACAAGAATCCCAAAATTGCTTCAACCTATTATCTCCATTTGAACAAAAGTGTTTAAAATCTTGAATAATTTTCTTTTGAAACAATTCATCGCCAGCTGAAGTGGATAATGATTTCCACTTTCGGCTAATCATATGATTCCATGACCAAAGAAATCCCATCTTTAAAATAAATGTATTTCTTATATATTCAGATGTTTATTCAATAGAAACAATTAATACTTACTCGTCTATCTACATTATAATCATCTTTACTTTTCCCACTAACATGACGTGTGATATATGCTTCATGTGGACTTGGTTGCTCCGGATGTACTGGATATCTTTTTTGTCCCGTACTTCGTCTTATTATATTAGTGCCGGTACGTTGACGTGGTCTAGTAGTTTTTGTGGATGGTACAAGTATAAAAGCATTTCCAGTCACATGAACGTATTGATGATCATTTTCAGAACTTTCAATCAAACATGGTATGAAACCAAATCTTCGTAATATGGCCTCTTGAAATAAGAATAATCTCTGAGCATATGTATCTTCACGAAATTCTAAAAATACATATATTTTTTTTTTAATAAATACATCAGATCATTAAACAATCAATAATTTTGTATTTTTATTGACAGACCTTCAAATAGAAATTTTTTATTTCCCATAAGACATTCTGTATCGAGTGGTATAAAAATAGGACCTCTTAAAGGATCACTCTTTAAAGTAAATGGTAAAGCTAACAAATCACTTGGAATTGGTACCATTTGAATTCCGCACATTTGAGCCTTGCGTTGCCAGATGAATATCTTGCACAAAAATTTTTCGTAATAAATTCATTATTAAATTATACTTCATTATTTATGTATACAACACTTACAAGGTCAGCTACAATGCTACCAGACGAAGCTACCCATTGCACTACAAGTTCATAAGAATGATCGATCATATATACAGATTGATACCTAAGATGCCCCCACTCTATTCTATCACTTTTGTTATTGATATCAATATCTAGATGTGTGTGTTTATACGGTGGTACTGCAATTGAGACAATTCATTAGAAATGTTGTTAATATAAACGCAAATGAACACTACATATTATTTATATAATTATTTATATAAAAAGTACAACCGTTCAATTCTTTTTCCTCCAAGAAATTTGTTAAATCTAGATCATCCCTTAAAAATAGTGGTACATTCGATTCATCAACAGTATCATAATTTGGTATAGATATAGGAGATGATACTGTTGGTAAATTAGTAGCAGTAGTAGCAGTAGCAGTAGCAGCAGCAGCAGCAGCAGCAGCAGCAACAGCAGCAGCAGCAGCAGCAGCAGCAGCAGCAGCAGCAGCAGCAGCAGCAGCAGCAGCAGTAGTAGTAGTAGTAGTAGTAGTAGTAGTAGTAGTAGTAGTAGTAGTAGTAGTAGTAGCAGTAGCAGTAGTAGTAGTAGTAGTAGTAGTAGTAGTAGTAGTAGTAGCAGTAGTAGTAGTTGTTGTAGTAGTAGTTGTAGTAGTTGGTTCACACCAACCTTTGGGAGCTTTCATTTCAACTTCCACCCACTCATTTTCAAAACTTTGAAGATCACCCAAAGGTGGCGAATAATCCGCAGCTAAAAGAAAATCAGAATGAAAAATGTTTAATCCTATTTCATTAAACAAGTTTCTGAAATTTTACCTTTTTGGTTTTCCTTATCCTGAACTATATGATACAAATAAAATCCTAATATAAAAGGTTTAGAAAAATCTCCAGATGCATGACAAATAAGCGTTTCTTGAATCATTCCCTAAATCAAAATAAAATGTTAGCATAATATCAACACAACTTTGTACATTAAGTATTTATTATCTTACTTTTATAGTATTGATGGCACTTTCTACAGTAACACCACCCTCTGTATTATTACTTAACCATTGAACTGCATCAGCACTAACAAAAGTTTGACTTGGTAAAGATGGATGTTGTGTAAGAAATCCTACTCCAGTTTGTGGATGTTTCATAGCTTCTAAAATTTCTGCATTTGTAGCATTACTTTTCAACTTTGTTAATTCCATGTTAGCACTGGAAGTAAATAATTGATTAATACAGTATAAATAGTTCTCATAAAAAAATATTAATTAAGTACATTATAGTACTTAATATCGATTTAATTAAATACCTATCCTCATTAGTTTCAAAGTGATCTTGTTGTTGTTGCTCCAAAGCAAGAGGAAGAACTGCTTCACTTGCAGGGGAAACTCTTCCTCTATCCATTACTTTTGAACCAGATCTAACGTCACAAAATAAGATTAAAAAGATGTCCAAATATCTCTTAGAATATGATTAAAGAAAAAAAATGAAATGCATAGTGCCTGGTAAATTAAGCAATGTACAATTTTGCTGCAGAAACAAGCGAACAAGTCTCTTCTATGTTTTTTATCATTATATAATATGAGAGACTTACATTTATTAAAAAATGTAATTCGTATGTATACACTTGAGCATTGCTCGTTACAAAAAAAAAAAAAAAAAAAAAAGAAAAAAAAACGAAAATTTTTCAATGTTATTTTATAACTATTATAAAATATCAATTGAATGGTTCATTATAAATCTTTTTCTTAAAAGAAAAAAAATATATGTATATACATACCCAAATATGAATAAAAAATCAAATTTAAAATTAATATTTGTATTAAGAGAGGTAAGAGAATTAACCAACCTGTTTGGCACGTGACGAGGAGTGTCGAGGCACGTGCGTGCAGCCACAGCGGTATTCACTACATGCCTCTCCTGTACAGAGAACCCCGTCACTCCCACACTCACTACCAATCATATACTCTAAGTAGAGTCTCTGCATATATATTGAATCATGCCTTATGTTAAAATTTGTAATTTCATCTACAATGGCAAAATATATCATGCAGATACTCTATATACTTGTTTCATAGTAATAACAAAAAGATGAAGTAAGCTATAACGTATAGAATGTATACAAAATTTTTTTTCAACACATAACTTGAAACTGTTTTGTTTGTTAACCTCTTCCAAAAATAACAATAATATTATAATAGAAATTTAAAATATTGCTTGTTATTAATTAAAGCACACAATACCATTAATTAATGCAAATTATGAATATAAAGCAAATATCTATAATAAAGCATTTCTATGACCAATCTTACTTCATACATCATTATAGAAGTAAAAAAATTATTATTACAGAATAACACTATGGATGATAGATGTAGACAATTTAATTAAATTTAATGTATTATAAGAGTATACTAATATATAACATTCTAAATATAAAATATATATTTTATAATATCTATGTTGTTTTTAGTTTCTAATAAAATTGTTTGTCTATCATCATGAATGCTAAACTGGAAATTAATTATATTATCACACTCAAACATAAATAATACTGAAACACAAAGAAATTATGCAAGGTAATATTTTCGAGAAATTAATGAATTACTACATTGATTTTTTAAGGACAGAAAAATATCATGTTTTTCATAAAATACTTTAAGATAATATTACTATATTTCATGAAAAAATGTTGTAATTCAATTCTCGTGCAATATATAGACAAGCAGAAGAAGTGTCTAACACCAATTTTGTATGGTCCACTGGAATAAAAGAAGGTAACGAACTACGTAGTGAAATTAGCAGAAAGCAACAATGCTGAAATCATTAATTTAAGCATGTTCAAACCTTGGTCGTGGTTTCTCTGGTAGACGGTTGCTTCCAAGTCGTTCTCTAAAGGGAGAGCTGCTGACTAGACTGGTCTGTAAAGTATGATGAAAAGTATGGATAACTGTGAGGGCATGACAAAGCTGATGATTATGAAGATAGATATCTGTCTATTTATAATAATATAAAAATTGATATTAAAGAAAAACATGTTTGATACATATTATAATATTGGAAAAAAATAGAATTAAACAGTAATATCTCACGCATAATGAGAAAGCTTGCTAAACTGTGGATGCACATTCAAGGCAAGTATCAAGCATATTCAAAATCAATATTAAATACAGTACATAAGCTTTATGATAATTCGAAATAACATTTATTTAAAAGCAATTAAATTGTATTCACAGGCATAAGGAATACTTATATTCATGTATTGAATATAAATGGTGCATATTAATAAGATATAAATTTTTGTTTAAATTCATATTTTTCTGCTCGAAATTATCTAATTCAAAGCTTAGACCTGATTAGATTAGATTAATAGCTGCCTCAATAGATGGAGGCTATTGCTAGGGGAAGTACCTGGTTAGTGAGGAATATTAGGCTCGTGCTGTGCCTGCGTCTGGTCAAATGAGAGGCAGGGTCTCTTGGAGGAACACCACTTAGAAC